TACTGATGTGTCATGTGTGGTGTTAAATATACCTAAACAACAAGAATTTGCTTGTTTGATAACAAAACCGAAGCAAAATTTCAAAGGAGATGCGTTGAGTGTAGTCAAAAAGCAAGTTTAAGCCAAAACAAATGCCAAAGTTGCAAATATTAATAAAGCTACTAATGGATCAATATTTTTAAGGTGTATCAGTGAAAATATCGTCAATATTATAAACAGTGAAAATAGTAAAATATTAACAGCTAAAATATGGGTTAAGCAAAATCCACAAATAAAAATAACTAATATAACAGGAAATATTGATAAAGAACAACTCGAGAATGACATAATACTTATAATATAATTAATAGTGTAAATATTGTGAACAAGTGATTATGAAATCATGAAAATGAAAGTTCATTAATGATACGTAATTCGTACTAAGCAAAAGACGTTAAAAATAGTATAATAATGGGGATGTTAGCTTGGATGCTATTGATTTGAATAATAAAACTGAAGAATACTCCTACTATCTATTGCCAAATGGTTATGAATTTATGATGAATACGTGTACATATCCCATTAGGAATTGTGATTTTGGGAACTAACATAGTGAAGACAGGTAAAATAATTGATTCAATCTCCGACCACTACCCTGTTTTGATTTCGGTTTATGGGAATTTTATAATATGTAAACGTCAAGAAATATCCGAAATAAATAAGAACAAATTCTGAAAATTGGCAACAAATTTTGCAAACACCTAATAATGAAGAGGCGTTTGAAATTTTAATAAAGAAAATTCTAAATATCTATAAGCTATCACTTAAAAGTAAAAAATGAAGAAACACTTGGATTACTATTGCTATAAACCAATTCAGTCAATAATAGAAACAAATTATATAAATTCCGGAAAAACAATCAATACGATTTGGTTAAAAAGGAGCAATGTCTACAATACGAAAAAAAATCCCTGCTGAGGGCTGCTAAAAATAGGCATGTAGATAGACAATTGCAAAATGCTTACCCTAACAGAATGTGGCGATGTGTAAATAGTATTATTAGATTGTAGCACAAAAAATAGGCGAATATATCAAATATTGATAAATAAAAAATAGGATCGCAATGGTCTTGAAAAGGCAATGTATTTTACCTAGTTTTTTAGCACAATGATGTCTAAATTGAACGCAAGCGTGAGTCCTCCATTTTGACACCATCAAATACCAGATATATCATATTATTCCCAATACAATGTTTCTAGCAAATGAAACAGAAGTTTATCAGACTATTAGTGGACCTAAAAACCAGGCTGGTGGGTGTGAAAATCATGACCCGAACTTTCAACAGCTACGTTATCAAGTCTCTATCAGACTCTATCAAAATACTCAACACAGACAAGTCTGTTTTTGTCTTTTTTGGAAATAATAGAGACTCTGTTCCACAGGATTTTGAAATCAAGATTAATGGTGTGAATCTGAAAGGAGTTACCAGTAGTAAATATCTAGGAATACCTATGACTCTAATATAAAGTGAGATGTTCACCTGTGAAAAAAAACACATACTTTGTACATGTTTTTTATAGACTCAAGGAAGTACTAAAAAGAAAGCAGTTATAACAAATTTATTATGGTCTTGCTGTGTATGCCGTCTTAGGCTGGAGAGGTCTCCAGTTTGACCCATTAAATCGGCTTTAGAAGCGTATTCCTAAGGAACAAGATACAGATCGACCACTGAGTATGAAACAAGCGTTTGTAGTGAATTCTTTAGTGTATCAATATTGTGAATTAAAAAATGAACATATACAAAATTAAACTCTCGCAGTTAAACACTCGTAATAAAAGTAGTATTATACCGCGATACCTGACGATGCTGTTGGACAAAAATGCTATGTGTATTATGCAGTAATAGTATATTATGCAACAAGTGCGGTAAATGGTATTAGACTCACGAGTTTATTTGACACGAGCGGAGCGAGTGTTTAATATACGGAAATGTCCGAAGTGGCTCGGATTCGTGGGAAACGAAACTGACATGGTAAAGTGACGCTTCCCGCACGCTAGATCGGTGCGTAATTAGGTATTTTACAGACGGGAGTAGAAAAATATTTCCCACGCTTTGGATTTTGACGTTTGTCAATTTTGACGGTCATGTCAGTGAAGGTATTCGTGTTGTTTTGCGATAATGTACCCAAAAATTAATGGTCGTAGAAAAAGTATAGTATGCAACACATTTTACAAAACTTCTGGATTGCTCCTGCGTCGGTTTTTGCTGAGTCGAAATTGCTGACGTTTCGACTCAGCAAATAGCGACGCACGAGGAATCCAGAAGTTGTGTAAAAAGTATTACAGTAGCCCGTGGAAGTTTCTTTGAAAAATAAAAAGTATGCAACACGTTCTTTTTAACTCACTCGTTTAGTAAAAACTCGCTTCGCTGCACTCCGCTCGTGTCAAATAAACTCGTGAGTCAAATGCCGTTTACCGCACTTGTTGTATAATATACTATTAATTAATTACCTAAAGAACTGAAAAAATCTCAATGTCGACAAAGAAGTGCTTAGAAAAAAGTTAAAGAAAATATTATAAGTGTTACAATCGAATAAATGTAAAAATTATAAAAAAGTAGTTTTAAGTTAGAGTTAGTAGTAATAAGTTATTTCAGGCCAAACCTATGTACGGGCAGTAAAATATTATAGGACCTTTACTGCAAAAAGATTTTTATGTAAATTGAATTTGACAAAATGATTTTTCCTAAGACTTTTAGGATCAAATATTTGAATAATTTATTGAGAATTAATATTAACTCCACATACTAATACAGAACTAATACATGAATTTAAAAGTAATCTTCTATCTGGTTTGTCTACCTCTAAAATAGTTACTTTGTATAAATTTATAGAACATGCTAAGAGCAGGACCTGTACACCGAAAACTCTGGAATTTCCTTAAAAAACGAAGAAGAAGAGAATGTAACTCCCAGATATGTACTATGATTGACTACTTCAACAGGATTGTAATTTAGGACCAAGCACCTCTCTGGAGGATTGGGACCACACCGGTAATGATTTTAATTTTTGAGACATTAACTACTAATTTGTATTTCAAGAGTTTATAGCTTGAATTTAACTTCAGCTCCAGAGTCGCCGGGTATAACGAGGCCATCAGCATAGAGAGTGTAAGGAGTTTGTTGGTGGAAGAAGTCTGCAAATCGGCTCTGATAGTGGCTAAAAAGTTCTCGAATAAGTTCTTGGTAACATTGTTAAAGTTATGACTGATTGATTGATAAAGTTGTGACAGACAGAGTCGAATGGTCTTAGAAAATCAACAAAGACGGCATAAACCTTTAAATGTTGATAGCAGACTTAAATGTCAGAAGTCTCCTCGGGAGTATCTTATGTTTAAGTAAGATATTAGAAAAAAGGAAGCTAGGTTGTAAGCGCCGGTTTTGGGGCAAGTTCTTCTGGAGAGCATAAATAAGTGTTTTTAGTAGTACCATTGTCAATAGTTCTTCTAGTAACATTTCCATAAGGGGTTTTCGTTATTCTGATGTTATTGAAAAACCGCAATCTAACTTCCTTAAACGGCTCTCTTTCGACTGGAGTCATTTAAAAGTCACTTAAAATGTTTAGAATGGGCAGCAATAGGCGTCCCAAGGCAGTATTTCCATCGCCATCGGACAATATGGATATTAAATATATTTGGGTTACGCAGGTGAGTCGCCTGACTTGTGAACTTGAATTTTCCTATCTGTGGCCAAATCTTAGTCCGAGAAATCTAAAACGTACTCTGCTTAACATCCTTATTAAATACCAAGAAATCCTCACTACATAATGTTACACTAGTAGTGACTCTTTTCAAAAATACCTTAGATCTAATTTACCACTCCACAGAACCACGATTCTAGCTCTACTTAGGCTAACCAATAACCATTTCACAAAATTCGCTTACAAAGGTTTGTCATACAAGCTCAACCATATTGAACTTTGCACTGTATGTAATCTCCACGAACATGAAACTCGATTCCACATACTGTATAGATGTCCTCTTACACCTAGGACTGGAGTGGATATCATTACTCAATATTTTTTTCACCTTCTTAACGGTTTTAAGGCAAATGTTTCAAGTCAGTTCAAACCTTTTTTTATTTTATTTTGTTTATCTGTAAAAATTTAATACTATCTCGTTCACTAGTGCCCACTTGTGAGAATCAGATCCGTATTACGCCTGATTATCTTTTTGAGTCCTGCATCAAATCGTTTTATTTTACTGAACACTTTTTATATCTCTCTAATCGTTTTCTTTTGTATTCAAACATTTCAGAGTGGGAGAAAAATTATATCGAAAAATTTGAACAAATAGAATTATTTTTTACGGAGTTCGAAGATCTTGATATTCTGTTTCTAATTCGTAAAAAAATATATTTATTTGACCGTTCCCGAAAAAAAATTCGATCAAATTTTAAACTGCATTTTTCTATATTTACAGCGTTTCTAAAGCGCCCGTCCGCCTGGAAATAAACATTTGAAAAATTCATAAACGGAAATCGTCGAAATATAAATTATTATGGCAAAGCCCGCCATGAATACAGGGGTAAAGCAAACAAATTTCGTAACGTTAATCGCATCGCCGAACAAAAAAAATATATATAAACGAATCTGCTGTGTCAAATTTATAACGGCCGATTGGGATTATTTTTTATAGCCGTTTGCCCATGATATACGAATTTTTTAAACGTTGTTAAATTGCATAACGGATTGCCAGCAAATATTTAGTTTCCTCGACGCTCAACTGGCGAGTAGTATTCAAACGAGGGTTTTGAGCCCAACAGTGCTTCGGATTCGGATCTGTCCTTCTTTCAAGGTCATTTCTATAGACGTAACCTAATATGAAGAATTACAAATAAGGAGTCCGAGCGAAGAAGATAAACTTCGGGTAACTGTGGCTCGTATATCCAGAAAAGGCGTGGTAGGGTCTTTGCTAAGCATGTTGAGGGGGTATTGGCTAGTGGCGCTATTGCTCACACTTACCATAGACGTCCAAGCAACCCTTTTGAATCTTCATTATAGCGGTGTTGATCTGGCACATGTAGCAGCCACGATCCGTCTCTTTCAACTGTCTGATCCGCAACTGCCACGTGCTTAGGTTATCGTGGGTTACCGCGATACGATTATTATGTGTGACCACCTTGGTGTGGAGACTTAGAATGGTCTGGTCCTCTGCCCTTACCCAAGCCACCTGCAAAAGATAAATCAAACAAAGAAATGATCAAAGTAACTAACATATATACGTCAGAAGCAATTATAAATTCTTTGAAGGAGATATTTTTAGAATCAAAAATATATTTTTTCGCAAATACGTAGCACACAACTCTAATAATTATTTTCCTATTAAGACACTTTTTACTCTCGCTGACATCGATGGAAATATTTCCAATATAAACTTATTCAGTGAGTTCCGAAAACGTACAAATAGAGTCTGGATTATGGGCATTAAACCCTGCCCCTTTGTCCCTTAAAGGCAGCATTTAGGTGTCAAAAAACGTTACGCAAACATTTCATACCAGCCGCTTCCTCAACGGCCGTTCAATTTATCAACCGGAAAGTTACGTCACGACGAATCTGGTGTCCACTTCGATCCCCTTTCCACCCCGGTATTCGCCGGACTCCGTGATTTGCTAGACTGACGATATATATTTTGTCGACCCGAGATTTTTCTTATTCCGGAGTTATCTCGCGTGTTCGCTCGATGATAACGTTTTTTTGCGGAGTAGGAGGTTGTTAGTTTCCGTTAGGATGCGCGCCGTCTCGCTTTTAAACGCGTTTGACGTCGCATATGGGGGTTCGATAATTTTCTGTGTCACTCTGTCTGCGTGTGGGATGTAAAAAGAAATTAAACACAATTTTATTTTGACCTGAAAAATGTATTAATTTAAATTTAATATTTGTGGAAAGTAAATACATGTATAGCTCTAGGGTTTGTTAAATTAGATTTATAAAATAATAAAATAATTCCAAGGACTTGTGCATTTACCATTCTTCGTTCCATTCTGAGGGACTGTCTTCTCAACTTAATATCGTCATGGAAGGGTCTAACGTCTAATTAATTACGGTATTCTTTCTTTTCCAGGAGTAAACCACAGAGAAATTCTAGTGTACCGGATTCCTTCATTCCTTAAAAGGAAATTCAAAAGAATTCCGATAAATCAAAGAGATATTTCAAGGAATTATAGTCAATTAAAGGAATTAAAGTGTGCGCTTTTCCCTTTACGGTTTGCCTCTTTTTTTTATATAACATTTATAACATGTCGGACAACTTCAAATCTCTCACCTCAGATTTGGTGTTTCTCCTCAAATGCCTTGGATGCCATTGGATTCAAGTCATTGCGATAAGCGCTGTATTGTAAGGTTTGTTTTTTTTTTATAATCGCGTATTTATAACGTCGTCAAGAATTTTTGTCAATTTCAGTCATTCTACTATATCTTTCAACATTTTCTTGTACCATAAAACTGAGGGTATCATATCAACAATAACGTTTTTGGTTCGTTGTTGTCAGATATATTTCTCTATATTAATTCGAACGAAAGCGGGATTTCCACAACATTGGTGTCTATGACGCGCAGTTTGCCCTCAACAATGAGTTCTTCCGTTGCACAGCTTCAGACTCCCTGGAGCCTCACGCGAGCTTGAAACTCCGGCCCTGCTTATCCGTTTAACCCTTTATCAACAAAAAATCCGCGCTTTATTCCCCGCGAGGGGCCGAAAACTTGCTCGTCGCACCCGCTACGTTTTTTTATTTTTCTTCGGCGATAACCCCCCTCCGCAATGAAAAATCGGCGACTAAATTAGTTGCTCCCTTGGGGGGCGGGTGGGCGGCGCGCTTTTTTCAACGCGACTGATGGCGGAATTATTTCCCGTAATAAAAGTTTTCGTGCCAAATTTATAACGTCGTAAAATTTGTACGGGCGACCGGGCGTCTGCAAGGAAGCAAAAGGGTGGATAAAATGCACCCGTATTAAGCGGATGTTTTGTTTCGGTCGTTAAAAAACCCAACGCTCGGGCAATTTCCTTACCGGGAGGGGGCGGGGGACACGGAAATTAGCTCCTATTTTCGTCGCCGCGCGCCTTTTAGAAAAACACACGGTCTCGCGAGGGACGCCTGTATGAGTTATCGTGGCCATTTAAAATTCCACCGGGGGGCGGAAGTGCTATAATATAACGGACTCTATTTTTCATTTCGCGACGGTTAAAAATTCCTACCGTAAATAAAAAAGTTCCGCGTTTTTCGTCTTCGGAAACCATATAGCAATGAAAATGGCGCCATCCTGACTCTAATGTTTTGGCGTTATTAATCCGAATTGTAGGATTTGACCGAACGCACCGTGTTCGTGGAAATATTGTTAGAGGAACTATAAATACAATAAAAGTTCGTTTTGATTTGTGACCACAAACTAAAAGGTGAAGTGATAGAACACTTTTTCAAAAGCTTTGATGTCTATTTAAAAACTGAAAAAAAAGCTGGACAAATCAGTTCTCAATAAACGTCGACTGATTTCTCACTAGAAAACCAACTGATCACTATCACTACGAAGCACTCGATTGGAAAACATCTGCTTGAAGTACCTTGTATCATTGCATAATTTAGGGGGGTGGGGGGGTTAGCAAAGTTTCGGAACGCTGACTGTTGCCTTTTTCTCTCGTAAGAAAAAATTTGTTTGGTCCTACTAGTTTTTTTTGTCTATGGCAAGGTCATCATTCAGGTAAATTAAAGGGTATGCACCGTCCCCCAGCAGTCGGAGTGGGAGGTGGGTAATAAGGAGAAAAAAACCTATATATATTTATTGGACGCCAGGTGATTTTTCTACAAACCGCATACTTGTAAAACGATATCACCAAACCTTATCACGAGAGTGACGCAAGCTACGACTTACAAAAAAAACAACTATTTGCGAAAACTAAAACTCCGATATCTCGATAAAAAGTTTAATTCAATTTCGGAGTGAGAGAGAGATATGTGTTACGTAATACGGACTTAAACCATCTCCCGATAGGGAATCGAGTACGAAAAGAGGATTTTACCCATAATAGCAGTTCAAAGAATGCGAATCCCCTGGAAGAAAAGAAAACTCTTTTTGACTCCTTAATACCGGCTATATCAATCTAATAATATACATATACAAATCAAGACTTAAGTTGGGCAATAAGTAGGTATACTAAGCGTCCATGGTAATGTAGAAAAATGTCTGATTGTGCAAAAAAAACTCCACTACGTGGTACTTATCTGTACTTCTAAATGTCACGCTGGTGTAGAACTTTCATAGTCGATGCCCCCAAAATTATGAAATTATATAAGAGTACGGATGGTTGCTGTTCCTTTTTGCCCACTGGGCTTCAACAGTATGTCCACTTTTATCGCCCGGTATATAATCAAATCAAAAGAATACCTCCGAATGGTGGAAAGGCGACAGATATAAAAAAAGACCCAAAACTTAGAGAACAGAGTTTGTTCCCCAAGTATTTTAAAGATAACATTTTTTTTATGATTTGTTGCCATAAGCCAGAAAAACGTTGTAGGGTATAAACGACTAGCGAGAAGTGAACACCAAAAAAAAAATAGAAACTCGTATCAAAAAAAAAAAAAAACGAGGTCTTTACCGTACTTTGTAAACTAACAACCAGAAAACCTTAAAGGTTTAAAGTGGGATGCAAAATGAAAAATCCGTAAAACGCCAGAATAAATTTCCAATTCATTTAGCCACCTGTGGGCTTCGAAAGTATTCTTTTTTTGCATCGTTTCTCTTAGCTTTTTTTTTCTTTCCTTGAGTGGGCCATTATTGGTATTGGTATAAAAGAGGGGCGCCCTCGCAGGCGTCCAAGCACTTAGGCCACCAGATGGGCCCGTTGTGCTTCCAGACCGCTCTAGAGGGCGTCCAGAATGCCGCACCTTCTATAAAAGGTCAGCAACCCCTTTAGCCAAATACCGTGAGTCCGAAAACTCCCAATCTTGCCCATGTCAAAGCAGGGCACTCGGTGAGCAGATGATACGGGGTCTCCTTCCCTTCCATGCACCACCTGCACTACGCATCGTCTCCAATGCCTAACAAGCATAGATGCCTCCTAAGCCTGCAATGTCCTATGTAATGCTCTGTTAATGCTCTACACTCCCTTCTGGTTAGTCTAAGCAGCTCCTTGGTCCGAGGGAGGGCGGGCCCATATGCCTATGCGAGGAGCCCTCTGGGTGTTTCCGATTTAAAACGTACCACTGTCAGACTAGACCACATCAGAAACTCAGTAGGTCTGATATTTGTTCTGAAATTTAAGAGCTCTTATCCAGTCATGGTGCTGAAGTTTGGTTCAGAATACGAGACGTTGTAATTTCTAGACCAAAAATTAATTGAAATAATCGCGCAAACCTGAAGAAAAATAACGTTTGTCTCCCCTCTACCCCTATGTTCTTAAATCTTGGGAACTTGGTTTCTGATTAAGTTTCTCTTTGTCGTGCTATTCTTTACTTCAAAAATCATGCGTTTTGAAATATTAATTAATAAAAAATCTTCAACCCATAGCAAAATGAGAATGCTGGTAAATTGTCTGCACACCAGCCGGTTTGGCTGATAAAGCGCTTCGATGATTTCCAATTCGTTTCAATTGGCTAAAAATGTCGGCTACGAAGAACAATTTCGCGAAATTGAAAATTTAAAAACGCGGTCTCCACGTTCAACGATTTGTCGAGACTTTGTGTCACTAAGTTAAATGACACTCCTTTCAGATCAAAAGTGCGATTACGACAAAATGGCGTTTCGACGATTCACCGTAATTGGTGAAAACGTTCCTCCGGTAAACAGGCGTGTTTGCGTCTGACCGAATACATTTAGAAACCGATCGGCGTTTACAAAAAAAAAACAGGACTGAATTATAGATGGGCGAGATCGATACAAAAAACTACAACCGTTCGGGCAAATGTACGTCGACGCTACAAATGATCCGTATTAATGGACAAATCACGCTACCTGCCCGCAACCCTAAAGAAAGCATTTGTTAAAATTGTAGAAATCACGGATGAAGTTGTTGTGTTGCTCATTTCGTGTAGACGGCAGCAATTGGTACGATGTTTATTCTAAAGAATGTGCGCAATTATTACAATTTCAGGACGAAGCTCTAAGAGATGCAGAGAAAAAACAGGACCAACAAAAATTAAATATTGTATATTTTTAAATAAGTGAAGCAATTCTATAATG